CATTCTTTTATGTTGCATTTGTTTATCTCTGTAAAGCTGTGTTACTTTTTCTGCCTAAAACATCTGATGGTGTAATAAAGAGCTGAATGGCCAATAGCTATGCAGGAGAAAGGGGCTGGCAGGCAGAGAGAATAAATAGGAGGAGAAATCTAGGAAGAGAAAGAACTAGGAGCAAGACATGGAGGAGAATACAAAGGACCAGCCACCCAGCCACAAAACCAGCTATAGAGTAAGAAGTAAAGGAAGATATATAGAAATAGAAAAAGGTAAAAATCAAGAGACAAAATTTAGACAGGATAATTTAAGTAAAGAAAAGCTGGCTAGAAATAAGCCAAGCTAAGGTTGACATTCATAAGTAAGAATAAGACTCCATGTGATTATTTGGTGGGTGGATGCCCCCCAAAGAACAAAGAGCAAGAGAGTAAGAGTAAAACACAACCAAACTACAGGCCTGCTCTCCATACACTGTGTCTATCAGAGGTCCCAGCCATTCTTCTTGTACAATTCAGAGAAGTATTTTTATTAACTATGATATAAATTAAGTTTTATTATCTTTTGAAATCTTTTTAAAAAGAAGGAATCCCATCTCGTTTTTAAAGTGTAAAGGATTTTTTTAAGAGGTGAAACCAGAAAGCCAGAGAAATTGCTCAGGGGTTAAGAACACTGGTTGATCTTCCGGGTGACTCAGGTTTGATTCCCAGCACTGCCAGTTGGGGGCAGTGCGTGTTCTCCAACTGTCTTGGCCTCAGGGCTAGCTCACTCACCCACCAGGGGTGACAAGGGGTGAGAGGAGATCATCTCTGTCTTGCCACTCCACCACATGGCAGATGAGGGGTGGGGCCTAATCTCCCCCTGCATTCACATGTCCTGATCACTTGCACCCCATCATGGGGGTCAGCTCTACTGTGCTGCCTGGGAGGGCCCACACTCTCCTGAGTGCTGCAGTCTGTGAGGGGCAGGATCAGGTCTTCCACTCTTGTAAAGCTGGGACCTGCTTTTCTTGCCTGAAGTAGGTACAGGAGGGCTGTGGGCAAGGGATGAGTGTTGAGGGGAAAGGGGGCATCTCTCCCTTGCTCATGCTACCATGTGACAGACCATGGGGCTAGCTCTCCCACTCTCACTCTTCAGGGCTGGCTCATCCCACCTCCACCAGCAGGGAAAACTCTACTGTGCTGCCCAGGCAAAGTGTAGGGCCCTCTCTTCTGAGTGCTGCAGTTGGTGGGGGGCAGGGCCAGTTCTCCCTAGTGCTGCAGACAGTGAGGGGCAGGACCAACTCTGTGCAGGCCTATCCTCACTGTTTTCAGGGGTAACAGGAACCAGGGATATCATCACAGCCTACAGCTGCAGCAGGGTCACAGACCCAGACATGGCCCCTGGCCACAGCCCAGGTTCCGATGAAACCCTTGCCCTTGGTGGCGGCACAGGCTATTCAGTTCTGCATGGCCCTGACAGAGGTTCAACCCTTGGACACTAATATGGCCCTAAGTGGTGGCCCAGACCCCTGACATCTGAGTGGCCTTTAGTGGCAATATGGGCCACGGATATCAATACCGACCCTAGCTGTGGTTGGACCATGGACCCAGACACGGTCCTTCACAGAAGCTTATGCCTGATGTCACCATGGCCCTAGTTGGCAATGCAGGTCCCTCTGATCAGCATGGAGCCATTGGCAGCATGGCCCTTGAATACCCACACGGGCCGAGGTGTAAGCCCAGATCCTGGGCATCCACACAGGAGTCTCCGACATCAGTGCAGACCCTGGCTGTGGCAGAGCCACTGACCCAGACATGGCCTTTCCTGAAGCTTGGCCTGTATGATGCCCTGACCCTGAGTAGCAGCACATGTCACTCAGGTCTGTATGGGCCTGGCAGCAGCACAGCCCTCAGACACCAAGAAGGCCACCGGTGGAAGCCCAGACCCTGGGCATCAGTGTGCTGTTTGGTGGTGACATGGGCCATGGACATCAGCCCAGACTCAGGGTGCAGTAGGGCCACAGACCCAGACATGGAGAGCTTGCCTGGGTGGTGAAATGGAGGGAAAGCTGGCAGGCTGAACCAACCCAGCTACCACCCAGTATGAGAACCAGGATAACAAGGTAGTCCACCGCCACATCCACCTCATCTATGAACTGCTGGAGCATGTGAGGGGGCCTGTCCTGCAGACCCAAAGCTGCAGGATCTCCATGACACAAGGCAACATCAGGATATCCAAGAGGAGCTCCAGTGAGGGCCCAGCATCGAGAGTGCAGCAGAAGCCAAGGGACTCAACCAGACCAAGACTACTTGCAATAAACACTTTCAAGTAAAGATGGATGGACTAAAGGGTATATTGTGATACACTATAGCTTCCACATGGAGATTTGGGGAGCTGGGGTTGTTGTTTGATTTTTTTTGTGTGTGTGTTTTTGGTTTGGGTTTTTTAGTTTTAGTTTTAAATTTTGTTTTGGGGGGCATGTTGCAATGGCAGAGGGCATAATCGAGGACACAGGGAGATGAGTGAGATTAGGATGCATGATGTGAAATTCACAAAGAATCAAGAAAAAAAGTTACAAAAATAAAACCCAATAGTAATAAAAAACTAGAGATGACATTAAAAATTCAAGAAACACTCGGTGTTTTCCAGTATTGTATCTACCCTTTTAGCTCTTTGTGGCATTCATGAGACTGCCTGGGATCTTCCAGGATCACACATGGTACAGAGGGACACTGAATAGAAGCTGGATTTCCATACATCCAAAGGTCTTAGACCCCCGTGCTTTCTATAGATATAGAAGTGGCCATGTTCTCCTCCATAGGGCTGGAATTCCTCAGGAGGTTACTGATCGGAAAGGCTCCCCAAGCCCTCTGAACTACTGCTATGTTCTGACCCCTCACATGGAACAGGAGACATGCAAGAGGGGCACCAGCAGCTCAGGGGAGCAGAGGGGGAGCTGGAGTGGAGTTCTCCCCTAAGGACCTAAAACACAATGCCACTAGAGACGGGATGCAAACACCTGGATCCCAAGGAGGCTTTTAGGACAAAACTGTACATTCACACAGTTTTGTTTTTTTTTAAACAAACATGAGTAAATTTTAAAAACCAAATTCGGGCCCATTTCTCACTGCTCAACAGGAAAATGAGGAGTGAGAGATGAAATTGATAAGATGAAATATGAAATGGATATATATATATATATATATATATATATATATATATATATATATATATATATATATATAGAGAGAGAGAGAGAGAGAGAGAGAATGCCCTAGGCAAAGCTAAATCTCACTCTGAAACCAAGAATGACTTTGAAGTTATGATCTTCCTGTGTCACAAGTATTTCAGACAGGGACACCCTGCCACTTTATGGAATTTGGGGGGCTCTAATCCAGGTTTTTATGTATGATGCACAAGGACTTGACACAATGAGCTACGACCTCATCCCAGAAATGAGTGTCTTTATACTCACAGCCAGAAACAGAGAAAATAATTCTAAGGGGCCCGGACACTTCACCAACAGCAGATTCAGATTATACAGCAAAGACAAAGAACAGGAAACATGCATGTACAGACAGTGGTGAGGAGGTTATTAGAACTGTGAAGTAGGTCTTTTCTGGGAGAAGAAATCCAGCACCAGGACTCCAGAATATTCCCATTACAAAACAGGAACTTCCTGGACACATACTAGTACTCCAGGGCCCCTTCTATTCTAAGAGTGACCAGAACATGTTGGGAATAGTTGGCTGCCTTGGAACCAGTCTGACCACATGCCAGAGAAGGGGCTGCTTGACTGACAGTTCTGGGATGGAGACCAGGGTGTAAAGGCCTGCTCTTGACACTTTGACCATTCAGAGGAGACACTAGAAGGGGGGGGGGGGTAACAAGAGAAAGGTGAGGAACCTGAGCACAGGTATGACAATTCTCACAGCTTTTGCCAGCACTCATGAAGGCTGAACAGTACTACTGAACTCCTCCCCAGTAGCCCTGGTGAAGATGAGCCCTCTGATCTGCCTGCTGAAGGACCAGCAGGCCCTGCAACCCTTCCCAAGCTCCTGGACAGGCAGAGCATGGAAGCATGACAGGTTCTAACTTCACTTTCTGTGAAAGCCTAAAGAAGAAACTCCCAGATAAACACATTCGCTTAATAACCCTTCTTTGCCAAGTACCAGGGACCTAATGTGGATATGATCTACACATTTCCATTCAAGTGATAAGTTTTTTGCACACTGAAGGCCTCTCTGCTGATGCAGCAAATCCAAATCAAAACGAATCAGGAAAAGCCCAGGTTTAATGGGTGAAGCACTCCCAGTTGATTCCTTGGCCACTCAGAGAGGAGAGAGGACTGAGAGCCTGGAAGAACCACATGTCTGTTTTCTAGAATGCAGCTTCTATACCCTGTAGGAGTGGTCTTGAACCACTCTGGGGGAGGAGCTATGTTTGGCAGGCTTTGAAGGGGGGGGGGGTTTGGGGAGGAGCTGTGTTTGGCAGGATTTAAAGGGGCGGGTGTGGGGAGGAGCAGTGTTGGGCAGGCTTTGAAGGGGCGGGTTTAGGGAAAGAGACGGTGAAGGGAGCAGAGGAGAATCTTCCACCAGACTCCTTCCAAACATTCCAGACTCTTTAGGTATAGGGATGCCAGGGTGCCAGGGGCTGAGGTGGAGCTCCCACCCAAACATTAAGAACTATTTTCTTTCTTACTCGCTGGAAATCGGTTCCCGTTGTTGACCCCCATCTGTTCCCTAGGAAGAAAATTCACCAAGCCCAGGGGACTCAGACACAACTTGGAAGGCCCCTTCTACAGCCTGCTTGTCTAGGAGCCATGTCTTCCCAGCAACCGGCCTGCTCATTGCAGCTCCAAAGTGTCGCCAGTTCTTTTCTCGGGGGCTCAGCCCATAGCACCTGGAGTCAACCGGAAGCAAGGGTAGCACGCCCATGACTGGATACATGTTAACACGCTGTACCAGGGTGCCGGACCGGAAGACAGCCCTGGTTGGTTGAGATGCTCTGCTCCCGGAACTGTAGGGGGTTCCGCCTCAGAGCCTGAAGAAACTCGAGGGAAACCGCGAGCGATTTCGATCACTTTCGCGTCATGGAGCTTCAAAACACCGACTCCTTGCCTCACGAGGAACCTGAGGAGGAAAAACGGAACGGTCAGTGCCTTCTGGGAGTGGTGGGTTGGTGACGTCCGTGAGGGCACTGGTGTCCCTCAGAGGTGGACGGACGGACGGGCACTGCCCACTGCCGGCTTCGCCTTCCCTGGCGCCATAGCGACTTCGCACCACCCAGGGCCCGGTCACCCAATCTTTCTGTTTCCCACTTCTAGGTGCGAGGGCACCCATGGTCTTGCCGGCTGGAGAGGGGAGAAATGAGGAAGCGAGTGGACAAGGCCAGCCTGGGCGGGAAGCCGCAGCAGCGGAAGGGGAAGGAGCAGGAGAATTAAGTGGAGAAGGCCCCTCGGCTGCTGATGCTGCAGGCCTCGAGGATGGCGGGAACCAAGAGGGCGCCTGTGGCGGCGCCCGGGAGAATGAGCAGCGACCTCAGGAGCCGGTTCACGAGGGCATGGGGGGCACCGAGGGTGTGCAGTCTGTGCCAGCACTGGTGACCCATGCCCAGCCTGTGCCACGTACAGTATGTCGTGTACAGCCTGTATCAGTTACAGCTCCCCAGGTACAGCCTATGCCACCTATGTTGCCCTGTGTACAGCCTGTGCTAATTAATGTGCATAGTATACAGCCTGTGTCAGTTAGGGCGCCCCATGTACAGCCTGTGTCAGGCACCTTTCCCTGTGTACAGCCTATGCCAGTTATGGTGCCCAATATGCAGCCTGTGCCAATCACTGTGCCCAGGAGACGGTCTGTGCCCATTAATGTGCCCCGTGTCCAGCATATGCCAATCACTGTGCCCAGGAGACGGTCTGTGCCCATTAATGTGCCCCGTGTCCAGCCTATGCCAATCACTGGGCCCAGGAGACGGCCTGTGCCTGTTAATGTGCCCCATGTACAGCCTATGCCAATCACTGTGCCCAGGAGACAGTCAGTGCCTATTAATGTGCCCTGTGTCCAGCATATGCCAATCACTATGCCCAGGAGAGGGCCTGTGCCTGTTAATGTGCCCCGTGTCCAGCCTATGCCAATCCCTGTGCTCCAAAGACAGCCTGTGCCTGTTAATGTGCCCCATGTCCAGCCTATGCCAATCACTATGCCCAGGAGACGGTCTGTGCCTGTTAATGTACCCCGTGTCCAGCCTATGCCAATCACTGTGCCCAGGAGACGGCCTGTGCCTGTTAATATGCCCCATGTACAGCCTATGCCTGTTAATGTGCCCCGTGTACAGCCTATGCCTGTTAATGTGCCCCATGTACAGCCTGTGCCAATCACTGTGCCCCATGTCCAGCCTATGACAATCACTGTGCTCCATGTACAGTCTATGCCTGTTAATGTGCCCCATGACCAGCCTATGCCAATCACTGTGCCCAGGAGACGGTCTGTGCCTATTAATGTGCCCTGTGTCCAGCATATGCCAATCACTATGCCCAGGAGAGGGCCTGTGCCTGTTAATGTGCCCCGTGTCCAGCCTATGCCAATCCCTGTGCTCCAAAGACAGCCTGTGCCTGTTAATGTGCCCCATGCACAGCATATGCCAATCAATGTGCCCAGGAGAGGGCCTGTGCCTGTTAATGTGCCCCATGTACAGCCTGTGCCAATCACTGTGCCCCATGTACAGCCTATACCAGTTAAGGTAACTAGCACACCACATATGCCAGTTCCTATTGCACAGCCTATGCCAGTCAGGGTGGACTGTGTACAGCCCACACCAATTATAGTACCCAGTGTTCAGTCTATGCCAGGGATGGTGCCCAATGTGCAACATGTGCCATTTATGGTACCCTGTGTCCAGCCTATGCCAGCTACAATGACCCATGTTTCACCTGTGCCGCCTGTGCCCTGTGTGCCGCCTGTGCCAGCAACAGTGCCCCGTGTGCGGCCTGTGCCAGCAACGATGCGCCGTGTGCGGCCTGTGTCGGTTAGGATGCCACGTGTACAGACTGTGCCAGATACGGCGCCCAATGTACAGCCTCTGCCAGCGCTGCTGTCCCGCCGCCGTCTCCGTGACAGGTTTATGAGGATGCACCTGCAGGAGCCAGAACGGTTTTTCCAGAGAAATGACTAAATGCTGAAGAAGGGTAAGCACCTTGTGTGGCTTCAAGTCCTTTCATAGGGAACAAGCTGGTACAGAGAGTCCTCTGGCTCTCTGGCAGCTGTCCTTTTTGTCTTCATTTATTAAAAAGTTCAGATTACATTTTGAAGTTTTATTTTGTCTTGGCATGAGTGGGGGGGCGAGAGGAGCTGTGTCTCACATTTGGAGGTAAGAGGACAGCTGGGAGGACTTGGTTCTCCCTTCCAGGATGTGGGTCCTGGGGTCAAAATCGTCTCCTGCTAAGCCAGCAATGAGCAGGAGGAGAGGAGGACACCAGGGGCCAGCCACCCAGACACACAGCCAGCCACAGAATAAGAAGGAAAGAAAAGATATGCAGAGATAGAGAAAGGTAAAAGCCCAGAGGCAAAAGATATATGGAATAATTTAAGTTAAGAAAAGCTGGCAAGAAACAAGCCAAGCTAAGGTTGGGCATTCATAAGTAAGAATAAGTCTCTGTGAGTTTATTTGGGAACTGGGTGGCAGGCTCCCAAAGAGTAAAAACAACAAAAACAAAGTAACTAACTAAAACTACAATGCTCAGTGATGGAGGACACTGGCTGCTCTTCCGGAAGAACCAAGTTTGATCCCAAGCACCCATATGAAGACTCACAACTACCTACCAGTAGCTTCAGTCACAGGGGGTCAGAATCGCTCTTCTGGCCTCCACAGGTACCAGGTACACATGTGGTGCATTTATGTATGCAGGCAATACACTCACATACATAAAATAAAATAACTAATAACTACATAAAATGACAATTTTAAAAAGAAGACAGAGATGGTCTTTTTTTTTTTTTTTGGTTTTTCGAGACAGGGTTTCTCTGTGTAGCTTTGAGCCTTTCCTGGAACTCACTTGGTAGCCCAGGCTGGCCTCGAACTCACAGAGATCAGCCTGGCTCTGCCTCCCAGTGCTGGGATTAAAGGCGTGCGCCACCACCACCCAGCTCAGAGATGGTCTTAAGCATAGGAGATATTTAGTGTCTACAACAAGCAATATATTCAGTGCTTTTTACAAAGAAGTTAAAAATGAAAACACAAAGATATATCAAGAGATTTCTGTCATCAGTAAAATATGAGCAAAATACATTGGTTCCTAGGTATATTGCTATGCCATTCTGCCATTCTGTTTTAATGATGGTACCTTTATATTATAGCTTGAAATGAGTAAGTATGATTTTTACAGTTATCCTCCCTTCTCGAGATCTGGGCTCTTTTCTGACTTCATGTGAACTTTAGGTTGTTTTTCACTTTTCTATGAAAAATGTTCTTGGAATTCTATATTTACTATGGATTAAGATAAAGGATGATAAAAGATTACCATTTATTATCAAGCAAAATGCGTGCACAAATATCACAAGATACATGGGGAATCTGAAATGACACTTATACTCAGCTGTAGCCTCCTTCAACAGGGCCCACGTGACCCTAGGCCCTGCCTTTTCTTTCCATCATGGCCATTCCCAATGAAAGCTCTGCCTCTTGAACCAAAACGTTTCTCTCATTTGGCTAGCAGACCAGTGAGAATTCTTGTAACAGGATTACTTTGTGAAGTATGGATATTTTAAAAATAAAAGGCTTCCATGAACACAGAAAATCTTTCCATCTGTGTGTGTGTGTGTGTGTGTGTGTGTGTGTGTGTGTGTGTGTGAGAGAGAGAGAGAGAGAGAGAGAGAGGCACAGATACGTATTTTACGTGTATGAATATTTGCCTGCATGTATGTATGTACACAAAGTGGGTACCTGGTGCCCATGGAGGCCAGAAGGAAATGTGACATCCTCTCTAATTGGAGTTAAAGATAGCTGTAGTCACCATGTGAGTGTTAGGAACTGAATCTGGGTCCTATGCAGAGTAACCTGTTGTTGGAGGGCTTCTCTCCAGGTTCCACCAAGCCCCGCAGTCCCATAATCCACGTATAAAATAATCACTCAGACGCTTATATTACTTATAAACTGTATGGCCGTGGCAGGCTTCTTGCTAACTGTTCTTTTATCTTAAATTAACCCATTTTCATAAATCTAATCCTTGCCACGTGGCTGGTGGCTTACCGGTATCTTTACATGCTGCTTATCCTGGCGGTGGCTGTAGTCTCTCTCTCCCTTCTTCCTGTTTCCCCAATCCTCCTCTCTCCTTGTCCCACCTATATTTTCTGCCTGGTCATTGGCCATCAGTGTTTTATTTATATAGAGTGATATCCACAGCAGTAACTAGTACTCTTCACCACTGAGCCATCTCTCCAATTCTTGGGAATTTCATTCATGCATACAATGAAATATGAGCTCACCCCAATTTTCCCCTCCAACACCCCAAGTTCCTCCAAAAAGTCCCCCCCCAATTTTATGCCCTCTCTTTATAATCCATTAAGTACAATTAGTACTGCTCATATGTATATGCACTGGTGTATAGCCAACCACTAGAGCAGTGGTTCTCAACCTTTCTTATGCTGTGACCCTTTAATACAATTTCTCATGTTGTGATGTCCCCAGCCATAAAATTATTTTCATTGCTACTTTGTAACTGTATTTTTGCTACTATTATGAATTGCAATGTAAATATCTGATATGTAGGATATCTGTTGTGCGACCCCTGTGAAAGGATCATTTGACCACCAAAGTGTCATGACCTACAGGTTGAGAACCACTGCACTAGAGTATGAGAAAACTATCAGTGGCTGTAACTTAAAGTTTTCCTGTGTCCTGCACAGTCCACAGCTGCTCAGATCCAAGTAAATATCCATAGGCTTATATTAATTAAAACTGTTCTGCCTACAATTGACCAGCTCCTACACTTAAATTCAGCCCATTTCTGTTAATCTATAAATCACCATGTTTTCCATGGCTTTGCCTGCGTCCCATTACATGTTGCTCCTTGGGTGGCTCACTGGCATCTCCCTCCTCAGCCTTCCCATTCCCAGCATTCTCCTCTTCTGCTTTTCCTGCCTATACCTCCTGCCTGGCTACTGGCCAATCAGCATTTTATTAAACCAGTGTACAAAAGCATTATCCCACAGCAAGCGGCCATATGTAAGGAATAGGGAATAGGTCTCACAGAGCTCCTCCCTCATAGCAGTTTGAACTGCCAACAGCTCTTCAGTAAGGAATAGGACCCAGAGAACTCCTCCAAAACCTTTGCTGGGATTTTGGCTAGGCTGATCTTGTGCATACCTCTTATGAATTCATGAATGCAACATCCATGTCATGTCCAGCAATTTACATTTGACAGTACTCCTCAGCTTCCAGCTCTTATATTCTTTGTCTTCTCTTCCATTATGCCCCCTGAGCCTTGTTCAAGGGTGGAGAGTGAAGGAAATATCACATTTTAAGATGAACATTTAATCTCTTATTCTCCACACCTTGGATAGTTATTCATTTCAGCACTGACTGCTGCCAACTGCAAAGACTGGCCCAAGATGAGAATAGGTCTGTGGGTATAAACATGAATATTTAGAAAACAATATGAGCATTTAGCAAAATAGGATAGCAGGTTCTATGCTAGGACCAATGACTTCCACAGCCATGGGCTTTTGACCAGGATTACAGTACTAGGCAAAAAAGTCCCTCAAGTTCAAGCCTCAGATCCTATCAAAATTTAGTTACCCATAATAGTAATGTTCAGCACAGGATAAGACTACTGATATCTTTTCTCCCCCAGCATCCTGCATAGCACTTTCTGGAAATATGAAAGTTAGGCAGTAGGAAGGAAGACAAACACATTATTTCTGAGATATTTTAAATATTATTCATGTGTATTGATGTTTTTCCTGCTTCTATATCTGTGCCCCACTTGCATGCTGCATCCTCACAGAGGCCAGAAGAGGCCATCATATTCCCTGGAACTGGAGTTACAGATGGTTGTGAACCACCATGTGAACGTTGGTAATTGAACATGCATCCTCTGGAAGAGGAGTAAATGCTCTTAAGCACTGAGCAATATTGCCAGCCCTTTGAGGTATTTTTTAGATTGGTGAAATTCTCTGTAATATTTTTATGTTTTCTGTGATTCAACCTATGAAAACTTATCTCACACATGCCAAGCTTTCTGACATTTTCATATCATCTTAACATGAGAAAAAGAATGAGATCATCACTAAATGCTTTCTTAAGGGATAGATACTTGGGAAACCACACATTCCATGGAGTTATCAAGTTGAACTCATATTGTTAGAAAACCAGAGAAAGGTCACCAAAGTAGATCACCGAAATGTACCATTACTCCCTTTTGGGTATGTAAGATAATACTTAATCTGTGGATAGAAATAGGGAAAGTCACTATTAGGCAAAGGCAAATGTTTCAGCAAAGTTGACAATACTTGAAATGATCAAGCCTGAGAAGTAAATATTTTTTTCAAAAGCAACACATAGAACCTAATAGATTTGTGGTATACCATCGAGTGATCCAAAATAAGACAGGAATACAAGGAGAAGGAAGACAACTTGAAGAAATGATGACAGGAGACTTCCCAAATTTAAGAAAATATACAAATTTACAAACTTGAATAACTATCAAGTAGAACAAAGCAAAAGATACACACACCAAAATATAATAACATTTCTGAAAACAAAATACAGAGAATTGTAAAAGTAGCAAGCATTATCTGCAAATATCCCAGTATGTTTATGAGTGGATTTCTCAGGTGATACCACAAAGACTAGAAGATACTGAGACAATATATTTAAAGTAGCAAAAAACATAGTCTACTAAAAATTATGTATTCAGAAAAAATACTATTTAAATTAAGGAGTGCCAAGTATGGTGGCACATGCCTTTAATCCCAGCACTTGAAAAGCAAAGGCAGGCCAATTTTCTATGGGTTCAAGGCCAGGCTGTTCTACATAGTAAGTTCTAGGCTAACTACACATACAGAGTTAGACCTAGTCTCAAAAATAAAATAAATTAATTTTAAAAAGAAAGTAAGACATTTTCACATTAGAAAAAAAAAGTCAAAGCATCTCATTACCACCAGACTTGTCCCACAT